TTGATCAATATATGAATAACACAAATAAATGAAAGAAATGACGATCTTATTCGATCAAAATAGATCTTTTTCGCAACAAATTCTTTGTAATAGTTTAAAATACTCATTAATACTAATATTATTAATATAAATATTAAAATGTTTGTCAATTTAATTTGTGATATTCTATACTCCAATTTCGGTTTAAAACTATTTTTCAAAATCAGTAAATAATTAGCACACAATGAAAATTTCGCACAAAATGTTCACTCAAAAGTACACTGGAAAAAAATTTGGTTGCATTTATTGGAATTCTAATTGAAAATAGACAAATCAGAATTTTCTAACTTTATAACTGTATATTTAAATTTTTCAAAAATTTAATATTTTGATAACAATCTCTCTGTTTCCATTAATTTTAAGAAATTATTCCATCCCTTAAATTAGAAATTGGGCCGATATAAAAAGAATACATATGTTTTTCTTAGATTGTTATGTTTAATATATATTGTATATATATATATCAAAGAAAATTGAATTGTGGTTTGTGACAGGTATTATTTTTTAGATGTTTTATCTTTTAAAAAAATGTGATTTTTACCAACCATGCAATTAAAAAACTTTAATATAAACTTTAAATGTACATATAGAAGCGATGATAAAACTTTTTACTTGTTTTTTATTTGATTGCAGTTACAATCGTTTTCTGCAATAGCTGTTCTCGGCAGAAAATATAATTAGAATATATTTATGTTATTATAATTAAAATATAAAGGTGTGCGAAGCGTTTCTAAGGTAAGAATCGAATCAAACCGAATCTTTGATAAACTTTAGAAAATGAATCAAATTTGAAATTTTTACATCAAATCGAATCGAATCAAATCTGTTTAATTTGAAAGTAATAGGTTGCTTATTATTGTATCATTAAACACCAAGATCTGCTTTGATCAAATAAGGCCTTTACTTTTTCGCTTTGTATTAATTTACATTTACCTCAAAATTCGCTGTTCTTGAGAAATTTCGGATCGATTTCAATCGGTTTCTCGCATATTAAGTAATTGTTATCGGAGCTTCGATCGGTCCGAACGCACTTTTAACAAGCGCAATTGAACGTGTTTGTGGGCGTTATTCTTGCGTTTACCAACGGCAATTAAAGTAAAACATCAATGCATGAGATCGGCGCGAGTTACTACGATCAAAGTTAGCACTAAAGAAACTCACAGATCGATCAAACGGAGAACAAGTTGCAAAACATTATGTAGTTCTTTTAAGGTGTGAGAGAATACATATGAGAGAAGAAAAAAAAGGCTGTGCTCCGTTTGTGGTGTCAATCGAAACAATGTACTCGAGATAATAGACAAATATGCGATTAAACGGAATATTAGTCCAAATTAACATTAAAAAAATTTGAACATAGATAATAATAAAAAGAAATATTTTATTTAAAAAATTAATGAAACACGAAAGATGCCGATATAATCTTGTATCAACTTTACACTGCAAAATAATACTGAGTAAGAAATTTAATTTTTTTCGCTATCACTTCCACATAATATACTAAAATGCCATTTTATAACGTAAGTACAAGACATAATTTTGCAAAAGATATTTTTACACATATTACGCTAAAGGAATTAATTAAAAGAAGTGCAATATAACAGAAAATTTATGATTGTGGCAATCATCGCACCAACCGGAGCGATACACGTTCGAGAGAAAGAGACGGGATCGAGAATTGCGCGTGTACTTACACACTTATACACGCGCATATAGTGCCGCTCTATTCTATAATTAAGGTACAACTAGTTTCGATTTCATACCTCGGACTAGACCGGCCGTTACTCACGTAACCAGCAGCGGTACTACCGCACGTTATACCGTTCGTGATAAAATATACACTATATACAGTGGGAGGCAAAAATGTATCAACTGAAAGGAAGGTCTTGCTACTCGTTAATTAACGGTAATTTGATTATCTTATCGCGATTAAAAATTTATATAAAGTAGCAGTAATAAGTGAAGACAAATAAAATTATTTACACGAATGAATTATCTTGAAAAAGAAACACCTCGTCCAAACTTGTAAAAAGATACATTTTATCTTCGCACAGAGTCATATATATTCCGAAAATGCGTGCTTATATAAAGAGGATATTAAAAAAAAAGCCGATTTTTGCCTAAAAAGATGTAAATAAAAGAAATAGTGTTTTTTTTATATGTAATACCTCCTGAATATAATAAAGTTATCAAAAAGTTCGTGGCGTTTGGGGAATACCACAAAAATTAAGCAAAAATATTGAAATTTGAATAAATACATTATGTTTGATGTTATTCAGTTACTTAATTTTTGAAGTAAATTTCCCCAAACGTTAAGTGAACTTTTTAATAATTTTATCACCACTAAATCAAAATCTACAAAAAAAAAACACTGGTCCTTTTATTTACATCTTTTTGAACAGAAATCGATCCTCCTTTACAGTTACATAAATTTAAGGTTTATGTAACAAATAAAATATTTTTTAACCTATTGTCATCAAACAAAATTAAATTAATTCGTAATTAAGGTTAATTTTCTGTTTGAGTAAACATATGAGATCTTAATCAATTTCTTAAAATTTCTATTAAAGTAAATTCTATGGCTACAAGTACTTGTAAAACTACAGAGGATTTCAATTTTACGACCAAGAATTTATCATTTATCTCGTGTTGTTTGCACAAGAATTTAGCCAACAGGATTATCTACCATCGCTCGCTTATCTTTAAATGACATTGTAGTAATCAAGGAAATAGTGCGATTCACATAGATAGAACATGCGTGTTCAGTGCACGTAAAATTGCGTACATACTCGCACCACATCATATCGCGTTGCATCGCGTATGATGCGCGTACTTTTGAAAGCGCGACCGCGGAGTTTTCACCGCGAATTCTTGCGCGAATCCGCGGTTAAAAACGAAAGTTTTTTTTTTTTTTTTTTCGCAGTACCTCTGTAAGAGGCCCGCTCGCACATTTCCAACGTATGTCTTCCTATAATCTGCGAGGTACGATCCTTTTTCTCTTATGACGTTAAGATATCGTGTGTGCACGACACCCAGACAACGCACGTTGAACAATTAGCTGCGTGTAATTGACCCAATCTGAACGATGAACGTATATGGTAGATTCCTCACGGCGAAAGCTGGACCCAATTTCTGAATATAGAATCTTCTTGACACGATTTCTGGTGAAATTTATTAGCGCGAAGAAAAACCCGCCGTGGTCTAGAATGCCTAGATTGCATTACATTGCATTAGGCGCAACAGATTGCAGGGATACCGTTTTCTATATACATTCAACAGTAATGATCACATTCGATTAATGATTATCGCGCTCATAAGTGTTATTACAAACGTACTCCAAGTAATCGATTAATTTATTATATACTTATTATAACAGTAATCATTACGTTGTGTGTCGATTACATTATATTATATATGTATATTACAGATATGATCATATCCTGTTGCAAAATTTATGAAAGTACTTATATAAATTGTATAATATTATTTCGAAGCATGATAAATGTTTAAATTAATTAAACATGATTTCCTAGATTATCTCGATTAGGCCGAGCCTTCTAAAGAATTTCTGCACACCGCAAAATCTGGCAACGTGGTTGCCACTGGTGAAGGATACTCTGCTTCCGGTTTTTCTGGCTCTCTTCGATAAGATGTTTTGCCGATACGTGGCCAAGGTGTACACAAAGCAGGATCATGCAAGGAGACTGTCGCACGGTGCGTTTTTTTTTTTTTTCTAAATAGAGAAATCTTTCTTCTTTGTGTTTCATAACAGAGACACTACGTGATTTCCATTCTTTCAGTTAAGCAAAAACTGACCTGTCCGTTGTGCGTGGGAAAGTTAAGACTCCTACTATAATCGTAATATCTGCCCGCACAACAGTGACATTCCGCGCGACAACCACCAATTTTTCGTTA